AGCCACATCAACATTATGCCACTCTATTATGCAAATCTGATAAAACAGCCGCAAACAAAAGAAAACTTTTCGCATTATAAACTTACAATAACGAAGTTTTCGTATTAAATGCAATTGAATGCCCCTCATCAGTGTGGTGTACATTGTACCTACTATTTATGGATGTGTGCATGTGTGATTCGTAGTGATTCCGGTACCTTTTGACAAGTTCATTCCTAACCATACTCATATTGTATCCCATGAATTCAATGAAAGTCAAAATCAACGGTATAATTATTTCTGAATTATAATTTCCAAGCAACAAATTCACTCGTTGCATAGTCTCCCATACCACTGGGCCAACAGTGTGCTTGAACGACACAATTTCAGCGTTAGCGATTGTTTTTGTTGCATATTCGATTGCCTTTGGTCAATATGCAAATGACAAAATATGCTAAACGAGGGCTGACGGAAATGTGCCATAAATGATTAGTTACAGGCTGTAACTTACAGCATGTAAAAAGGGACAATGAAATGGTAAAAGATGAGCATATTTATGCGAATCAGTAATTGGGCATGAATAATATGGAGCGAAAATTCAGAATTTAACCACGGCTCATGTTTATTGGTTCATGATCAGCAATCACATTCTCTCATATCATTGTATCATCGATGGCATGGTGTGTCTTCGGTATTGTATGTACTGCACGAGGTCATGTGGATTTCGTAATTTGCTATCATTTCGATACATTGATATATAACAATAAATCTGTGTGACAATGACACAATGAGAATATGGAGAAAAATGTATTGTTCCATTCGGGCGTTGAAAAATAAGCGGATTTCGGTTGCACCGTTCAATCCGATCGTGTTTTCGATTACATGTCCTGATATGTAATTCCAAGGAGAATTGAGTTCATTTCCATATTCGGCATGTGCTCAATATATAGTATTTGGTGGATTGCAAAAGTTGCATGCTTTATGAGTTTTTATGCAATTATTTTTCGAAATGAGGGTAATAAACCTTTGTCACGAAATGCACTGAAAAATTGTTTCCATTTTCACATGGCAACTAGCCGCGAGTGTGGCAACATTCAAGTGGATTAACTAGATTAATGTGGTATTATTAAAAATATAGCGGTTATAAAATTCAAATGTAAATATTTATGTGAACTTTAAAATCGATTCGTTGTTTGGTTTACAATGCCATCAACATCTTACAGCCCCAACACATTGACTTTTTGTATGCAAATCATTTGTTTAGCCTAGTTTCTCGAACTGCAACCCACTTTATGTCAGTTTATAGGGAAAAACTACAAGTTTTCGACCAAACTTTCACTTGCTATCGTCAGAATATTTCATAAAAATTGAGTGAGCATCGTACAATATCGCTGTTCACAGCCTTTGTTTGTATGTCAATTACGAGAAGAGCCACTCAAAGTGCTGTCACTGTGTTTGGCTTTCATGTATGAATTTATGAGAAGGGGCACAGGGCATACACACATCCAAGCGAGTACATATGTTCACATGTGCACTTACAATGAACGCTCTAAGGACAATTGACTTCAATTTAACAGCACAAAAATAAGCGCAAAACGATTGCAGAGCGTGTGTGTGTGTGTGTGTGTAGAACGGCATCATGCCACCCGTGTGTTGTCATCAGTGTGTGCAAACAAGTGTTTCGGCCAAATGAAAGTACCGAGGGTATCGTCGTCAATTGAGCCTGTGATGAATACAATTTAACTGAAGTGTCTCGTTCAAATGCTAACACAATGTGCTTAACGACTCACTAAAACTATCCAGCTAACGATAATATAATTAGACATTTAAACGAAAACTCTTTGTCACTTTCACTAGCAGTTGCTGTTGTTGTTTTCGTCGTCGTGTCGTCGTCTCAATGAAAAACACAAAATATAACGGAAAGCATCGGCTATGGACATGTCGTTCGAAAAGTGGATTCAGGTTCATTTTATTAGCAAATGAAGTGTTTGAGTGCGCATTTTCAGATTTCAAGCCCACAATTGCATCACAAATCGAATTTTGTACAAATTAATTTGCGATTTCCGTTGCTCTTATTGTTGTCTATTGCATTTGTGAATCTATTAAATGCCGTAATAGACTTGTCAATGGGGTTTTGTGCATGATTATCGCAGCTATTTCTTCACCCAAATCGAACTATTTAATTTGAATATATGGTTATTGGCTTACACTGATTAAAATGAATCTCTCCCAATCAATCGACGTGCTCAATCTATTATTAGTGTGTGTGTTTAAAATCCAATTCATTCTCTAATCCGTTTAGATTTGTTGAATTGGGCAAACGTTATGCCATAATCGAATGATACCCTTAATTTTTCAGGTCACGTTATACCGACGACCATTCGTTTCATATCCGTGAATTTCACGGATAAATTTGAATTAAAAGTGCTTCACCCTTCTGCATAAATGTTTTTCAGCTTTTGTCATTCTACACAATCGAATCGCACGTTCTGGATCTGATTTCCACAGACACGATTCGGAGACAAGCTTGCTCGAAGCAAATGTACAAATTCAAAAGCAAACTTGCCGCTTGTGTCGTCGGATTTATTCGGTCAAAGGTCTTCTTTCTTTCACGTGTTTTTTTTTCTTTTACATTTGTTTCGCCTCAATTTTATTCAACTTAAAAATGTATTGCATTTTGAATGAAAAACAGAGAACATACAGAATATGCTTTCGTCTTACACAATTTAATCTGCTGTGGCATAACCTATTCGTCCTATGGCAAAACGAAAAACAAGAAGTGAAGATCCAGTTTGATGCACGCAAAGCAATTTACACGAGACGCTTTGTTCGTATTTTATGGCACATAAAAGAAGACTGGAACAAGACAAACTGAACAAAAGGTTTTGTCTCGAGAAAATATTCATGAAAAGACCTCTGCGACAATCTGTTTTCTCTAGTTCATGTTCTTCCTTCTTCTTTTTTTTCACTTTTGTTTGCGACACTACCACAATATGCCATATGGAATTATTTAAAGCAATCAATCAAAATTATGTTGAGATTTTTTATGCAAACACGAGCATTTCATTCATGCAAAACTGGACTCAAACCCAAAGAGAAGGTAGTAAACGAAGCAAACTGTCGACAAAAGAAATCGAACGATTTACCGTCCGTTTTAGATTGAAATCCCAAGGAATTTACAGCTGAGGCCTTTTTTACTCAGTTCATTTTATCTTATCGGAAATTTTACGTCCTGTCCATAGATCAATCATGGATTAAATATCAATGAAATAGAATATCTATATATATATAAAAATTGAATTTTCACAACGTTCAGACAGGTCAAATGATGCGTAAGTAAAGGCAAACCTTAACAACATTTAAGCACAGACAGTTGATTTTCCCGAAATCGAATTTGTGATATTCGCTTGAATCGCCCCGATTGCTCACTACATATCTGATGCTGAATTAGGAGAAAATCTCAATTTTCCTTATTATTTCTATCGAAGAGGCATTAACTTAAGCGTAAACAAATATTCAGGCTTGACATATAAACGAAACGGGATTTGTCGTCCTAATCACATTTTAGAAAATGTATCTGCATAGAAGAAATATTTTCCGTCGCCGTGGGTAGAGTCCAAAAATCATTTTTCATATTAGCTCGTTTTTTGTTGGAAGCAATTCGGGAAAACTCCCGTTGAAATTGGTCAAACCGTCTTTTTTTGTGTGTGTGTGTGTGTAAGGTCAAGAGGAGAGTTTTTTTTAAGTGGCCCTTGCGTTAGCATATGCGGCACCTTTTCATTCAGTGCACGGGCGTGGAAATTCAAATGTTTATCAAGGCTTTATTTGCATGGGACAGCAAACCTTTTATGCTTTTGACAGCACAAGAAACGATAAAAATGAATTCCCACAAGTAGCCACTGCGTCAAGATATGAGACAATATAATAAATATTGTGAATCCAATGGAAAAAAAACTCGGAGCACAGTTTCACTCCAAATATATTTTACCCCCGAAAAAAAAAGCAATAGCAGTTGACATCTTCTCGATTTCGCTGTGATTTTTCATTTCCTCTTAAATACAATAGCATAAAAGGAATCAATAACACCACGACGGAACAAAGCTCAAAATGAAATCACATAAACGAAACGGAATGCGGACAACTTTCATCGTTTTTTCAAGTTTTGAGCACTGTTTATCTATTTGTTTCGACATCCATTGTCAATGGTATTTCACTGCGAAGTATTGCCATAAAAAACCATTTGTTGGTTCCGTACAATCGACTGAGTCGTTTTCATTTCCAACTTGTTCCGTCGCACAACATCATTCGAAATGGACCTTATTTATTGTATTGTCTGTGTTGTTATTCTTTGCGCGCGCGCGCGCGTGTGCGTTTGTATGTGATCGATGTTCGTATAAATATTGGCTTATAAGGACTGTCATACGTAAGCTTTGACATCAGCGAATTTCCGCTTTAATATTGGTATTTTCCATCGGATGGCGAAAAATGTGTATCATTGTTATGAAGAAGGAGAAAAATAAGCGAAACAATATCTTTATGTCATATGATGGAGTTCATATAACATAAACTTCGTATCGGATTTTACCTCCTGAAATCCCATAATAATTCTTGTTCACATAAATTGGCCACATTCGATACACAATGCACGCAAACACACAGAGATAAGAGCAAGCAAATGGAAGGCCTATCGATGTATCTATATGTGGCATAACAAGGAACATAAAAGAGCACGTCTAATGTTTTGACGTTGAAATGGAAAAACAAAACCAGCAATCAAAATAACGACCGAAATTTCCGACGAAGTGTCATGGCAAATTGAATGAAAGCGAAACGTCACCATGAAAACCACACATAAATTGATATTTTCATCGATACACACACACCACTTCCGCATTATTATTCAAAATTCTGACCTTCGACACATAACAAAAATAATACGACAGCAGTAGGAGGAGTGTGTATCATTTGTGATTGTATAATTGTGACAACCAATAGCATATAGATAAAAAGTTGATACTTACTGTTGCTTTTATAAAGTCGGACTTCAAATTGATCCTGCAGCTGATTCTCCAGTGTGTAATCTAAGCGGGAAATTGTTTCTTTGTCGGTTGATTCGCCATACATGAATTGACATCTGTAAATATAGAAATGAAGTCGGGTGAAAATCTTGATAGAGATTTTTATTGAACTAACACACAAAGAGCGCGTCAAACACAATGGATGGAACGTTGATCGAGGAGAGGGAATCGGAGGAGCACAAAAACTAACGATATGAAGTGAAATCAAAAGACAAAACGAACATGATGATATGATAAATGTTAGCGCATTTGTTATCATTCGTCTACGCCAAAGCGCACAATGAATAACATGACTTTTCCGCTCTTGTTGCTAGTTCGATTTGTTTTTATTACTTGAACGTCTCCCTTTTGCGTTCAAATTTCTTCGCTTTGTTATGCTTGTCTCCGTTGTTAGCATGATACTCATTTATGATGTTGCCAAACTATGTGCTCTTTTTCCATTCGTCTTTTTCTTCTTGTTAAATTCTTCAGAAGTTACTAGCTTTATTTGCACAAATGCACAGACTTCGATGATTAATGAAGGCAGCTCATTATGCGCCCAACCAAGTTTATTGACTTTGTTGCAACCGATTTTTTTCGATTTTAGTCAGGAAAAATCTGTGCAGTTGAACAAGAAAACAAAGCATCTTATTTGAATGGAAAGTAATGAGAAAATCTCAGCTTTCTGTGAATCGATAAAGTTAATCGATTTTGTCTTCGCATTCAATGTTCGCAGTCTATTGGAAACGAAGGGAGCACCAGAGCTAGGTAATTATTTTCAACTATTCAAAAAGCAACACGCGAATGGGCAATATGTTGCACGTGCCATTCAATTTGAGCTATGTGCATCGGATCAGGCCGATTCAATTTCAAATTATGTTCAAGCCATTTTTCACAAGAAATCCCATTAAAACAGAAAGACCACATACAAGTTTCCCATTTTTCTGGAGATTGAAAGCTGAATTCAATTCTCCTTGAGGAAAAATCGTGTCCAGCATTTCGATGCAGCAGCCACGAACTGCACTGCATGAATGCTAACCAAAAGTGAATTTCTCTTCTATTCCCTTTCTCTCTGTCTCTCCTTATGACTTTCGTTCAAAGTAAAATCAAACTAAGAACAATCCAATTTGGTTCACAATATTGAGCTTACACTTTCCATAGAAATGGTATGGTGTAAGTTACATGCTAAAGATTTTGCTCGAATTTCTTATAACGCTCGTTAGCTATTGCGAACAGACTTATAATGAGATTACCAGTTGGCAATTTCTCTCGAAACTTTTCGCAAGCACGCATTCACCATTAAATGTAATCGCCATGTACTTGCACAGAACTAAAGAATGAAGACCACTTTTTTGTAGAATCTTTGATTCAATCACAATTTTTTCTGATTCGGTTTCATTACATGGAACATTATACGGCGGTTATGTGATTGCTGCCATATCGTTACATGCATTTCACATTCCATTTCGTGTTGTGTGGATTGATTTGTGTGCTGTGCGCGCTGCGAATGTGTCTCATTTTTCACATCGTTTTTCATCGCAATGTTGAATGAAGAAGTGAATAAAATGGCAAGTGCACAATGGAAATTCGAATGCTGCTGGTTCGCTCACAATGGATATGTGTCGGTGAACGAAACATAAGATGAAATGTGCCATTAATCAAATTGATGATTGCTCGGGGAGAAATTAAGAAATCGAAAACGACTCGGAAGTGGCAAATGAAATTGTGATTGAGCACAGCACGATGCGCCCATCAAATTCCGATGATGCAATGCTAAATTTCTTGGAAAGATTGCTCAGTAGATATTAAGTTTTAGCAGATAGCTTCCACGATAAACTGGAACAAACAAAAGAAACATAAAATGGAAGCCCATGGAAAAGTTTCAAGCATAGCCAACTCGACGGGAGCTTCGGTTGTTATGATGCCCGAGAATGCAGAGAAGAGAAAATAAAATGACGAACCATATAAATTGCGTAGATGTGAAACCATAGCACTGCTTTTGCATACATCCGCAACCAAATATCAATTCCGAGTACCGAAAGCAACGTTGAAATTGCAGTATAAATGAAGAAAAAAAACTTCGAGCGAAGAAATTCACTTTGGCTTATGGGTATCTTCCATTGAATGTGATAGCGTGCGTGCTTCCGCTCGCACTGCTTCGCCACGTTCAAGTGGCTGTTATGCATGCTCTGCTCACTGATGATAAGCGCAAATTGTTGACATAATAAGTAGTCGATGCACACGACGACAACAAAAGCATGAGCATGGCTCCAAAAATCTAGCTCAATGACAAATTTTGGCGCGAATACCGACGAATAACAACAGAGAAAAAACGACAAAGTATGTGAATGCGTCGATCAAACATAAAGCATCAAAATAAAACAAAACGAGCGAGCAGGAGTACAACAACGTGTTCGGATGGTATAACGTTTGGATGGTATGACATTTTTGGCGATTTCTTATTTCACTGCTCTGTCATCGTCTGGCTCTCTTTTTCATTGGCGCACATTGAATATATTACGTGCCTGAATAGCGTCTTTGTTCTTTCATCGCTTAGTCTTTTTCATTTGATATTGCCTAATGCCAGATAATGAATAAAATACATAGACACTTCTAAGCGAAACATAATCCTGACGAGAAGCTCACAAGGCATTGAAGAAGGAATGCAGTAGTAATGCCATTTAACATCCAATTTACATGTACAACACTGACAAACAGCCATCTTCCTCTGCACGAAATTACCACATTCTTTTCACTATTTTTTTATGAGTGTCATTCTTTCTGATTTCGCTCCATATCGACACAGTAGTGCATGTAAGCGCATGTAGTTGAGAGCACGCGAGTATTATGTTTGTTTGTTTGTAATATTAACTTCCCTGTTTATCGCATGACATCCGACGGCGAGTCGGTAAGACAGAGGAGCGGTTTTGTATTCGCTTGAGTGTCGGAATTTCTGGCTACATGTCGGAATTTCTGGCTATTTTCACTCTCTCTCATTCTCTTATGTCAACCGAAAACACCGAGCTCCATGCACACGATACGTGCAGCTGCACAACGAAACAATTTCGATTCGATTGGATTTTATTGTATACATGCTTTTATCGATTTGATCCTTTTGTGTGGTCGTGTGTCACAGTGCGTGTTCAACATTCCGATGGTTTCCTCTTAATCCCGAACCGTAGATTCTCTAATATCATGCGAAAACACTGGTTTTAGGTTAACGCCAGCTTTTTATCTAGTGATCATCAATAAAGTGCGTGAAGAGGAAATCGAGCACAGATACGTTAAAGCTGACTCAAGCACATCAAGTACACATGCCAATAAATATCTTGAGGGTGTGCAAAATACGAAGACGACGAAGAAGATGATGATGCGAAGGAGGAGGCCAAAGTCAACGGAGAAATGTGTGCGCTGAATATATAAAACCACATATCCAATTTCTATTTGCTTGTGTTGTTTTCCTCTTCTCGGCCGCTCTCTCGCAATCACTCCCATCAAGTGATGCGAAATTTGCACATGACCATGGATTTTTTTTATTGAAAAAAAAGCACTCGCTCTGTTTGTTTTTTCAATACAATGTTCAGGGCCGGAAAGCTGATGTTCAATGAGCAAAACTGGCATATAAATTTTACAATTTGAAACCAATCGACTTTCATTTGCTTTTTGTTATGAATTTTAAACGAACAGTTTCGTTTCCATTTGTATTTGCTCGTCATTTATGAAATATTTTAAATTTTAAATAAAACAGCTTCGAGTGGAGAAACAAAAAATGTCAATTGCCTATTGGAAAATATTATTATTACGTCAATGCTGGAACACGTTTATTTTCTCTCAATTTTTCTCTCTCTCTCTCTCTCTCTCTCTCTCTCTTTCACGATTTCGAGCAAAAATGATAATTTTAACCAGTAAATCATTAACAAATGGAGTGTGCACAACACTTTTATGGAAAATATTTTGTTTCCCATCGTGAGCAAGTAATCATGCTGATTAATTCAACAGTTCAATTGAAATGTTGCAGGCAATTTCATCGCAAGTTGAGTTGAACAGCATTTACGGGAAGCGTATGAAAGTGAAAATAAGAAAATGGAAAAATGCAGAACAACTTAAATGCTCCGAGCATTATTATACTCGGCTCATAAGCATACAATCATTAAGAAATGGCTTTTGTTGGCATCAATAATTCTGCTGCTTTCTTATCGATCGAAATGGATCGATGCGAAATAACATTCATTTGTGGGGCTGTTTAATTGCTGGCATAATATACAACTATTATGGGCTTATCGGCTCACTTAAGAAGAAGAAGAAGAAGAAGCAATAGCTAACCAAATGCTGCTGAGTTGAACAGCGGCACCTGATCAACAGATGGTTTGATCGTCACGAAACAAAAGGCATCGTTTTTGCTTTGTTGATCCGATTGTAGTATCTAGAACATCCGGAAGAATGGGAAAACCGATTATGAAAATCGCTAAGAGGATGAAAATGTCTTTGTGAGAATTGTAAGCGCGAGTTGTGGCACTCAATCAGAGGTTTAAATTCAATTAGTAGAGCACATCTCAAAATGAATGTGATACGGCATCATGAGCTTCATAATGGTATTATGAAAGGCATTCAAGGCAGAAGTTCAGGAAAAAAGTGACAAAGTGGTGAAAACAAATATCGAAAAAGAAATAAGACAAACAGTATTCATGCTGTGACTACGCTCACTGTATACGAAATGTAGCATGAAACGGAACTGTTTTTCGTCATTTGTTTCTGGGTCGTTGATGTTTTTACTTACGTCGTTCACGTTATAAAACAGAAATAAACCCGAAACAAAGTACGTTCGACGCTTTCGGTTTTTCTACATCATTTTATTCGCTCTTATTATTTGTTTTATCGATGGAAGACAATGGAACGAAAACTCAAATACCAAAATACGAGAAGATGAAAATGCCTTGGTTTGGAACAACATGTAAAAAGGCAAACTTTTTTTTGTCTGTGCATTGGTGAGTGGTGCTTCTGTGCTTCGTTTTGCCTTATTCGTTGATTTTTCTATTGGGTTGCTTAGAGCTTGTGTGAACCCATAGAATAAATGGTTTATGGTTTAACTGCACGGCAAAAACGGCTATGATTTGGTCTATAACGAAAACGCATATCCTTGAGCCGGATTTCATTTTCTCCCTTTTTTGGCGTTGTGTCGGTTTCATTGCTTGCAAAATAATGGACGAAAAATTTAGGAGCAAACGAAATTTTTATGTTCACTTTTTTGGGGTCGAAATTGTGCAGTATTCTCACGATTCGGAGCTTATTTGGATTTACCTTACGGGCGATACGTAGCACCGCCGAGCAGCAGATGAACCATCGACATTTACGAGAAGAAATTGCAATATTCGTCATGAAACCTACATAATTGAGTTTTTTTAGTAGCTCCTCGCGTTTAATAAACTAAACCGAAAGCAGAATGTTCGACAAATTGCTCGGTCAAACTTAAGGTTTTTAGAGAGTATTTTCCGCCTCTACAAAAAATGCAAGGAAGTCTTTCTATCAAATAAAATTGATCCGAAAATCTGATTAAATATGAATGTGGAGGGAAAATGACATTGGTATACCAAAATCCAAATGAGTCTTCTTCGAGTGAATATTTTCTCCTCAAAAAAAGTTTCTCATTCGATGAGATGCAAAAATTTATGAAATTCACCGTTCTGTATTTTTCCGTAACATGAAACAAATATTTTCACAATTTTCTTATGTAAATTATTATTGTGATTACGAATATCGAAAAAGTTTCCACGTGAAATTCATGTGCGAAGGAAATTAGTTTTGTTTCCGTAATGGCATTACATCGGTTAGAAATTACAAGAAAAGTAATCCCAACTGTAACAATATTCGCTAGTGAAAAAGTGATAAGGATGTCGATTTCTTGAAACTTTATCCCCATTTGGAGTTGGATCGTGCGACAAACCATGACAGACACAGAAAGTTCTGCACAGTTATTAACTTACTTTAATAAAACTACGGCAAGTGTTCGTGTGCAAATTCCGGTTTCTATCTGCCATTTTTCATTGGCAACGAAGAAGTAGAAGCAGAGAACCCAACACTAAAATTAGCATGCAATCCACATTAAGGGTAATTGAACGGATTCCATTGTGTTCTCGCTCCGTTGTTTGTTTGTCCAAAGTTCTGCATTTTAATTGGACTCCATTTTCAGGCATTCCAATTGCATTTCGAGCATGTTCCTTTTTTTGCTCTCCTTTGACACGCGCGCTCGTGCAAAAAAAAAGGGGAAAAATGTGCTCAGATTGCAACTTACCTGCATGGTTTTTGCATTATATCCGCGCGACCATAACCGGTCATCTTGCAAAACGCTTCATTGGAATATACGATCGGGTAGTCGACGATTTGTGCATTTGCCAACAGGAACGCGCTATCCGCTGCAAATGAAAAAGGAAAAAAAAAACCATGAATATAAATGTCTGAAAATTGCATTTTTTTGAATTCATTATTTAATGAATGCGTTGTTTGATTTGCCAAAAAAGAACAAACAAACAAACACTGCGATCATGAATTGCAAATCAGAAAAGTAAACACTTGAAATTTATGGTGAGAAGCATTTTTCTCTCTCTGTAAACAGGTTTAATTCTTTCTCGCAGGGTTTGTGAATAGTGATACTCTGGCATTGTACTATAACTCTTGCTTGGGATGAAATAATCCTCTCAAAATATCATCGTGGCCATTTAGAGTAGAAATTTTCAAAGTACACGAATATCTTCTCGAAACACCACCAGAACTCAGTGTCAGCACGAGCCAAGGCAAACAGCCATGGATCTGAGTTGAGTGCATTTAGAATAAGCGTCAATAAATAAAGAGCGGAATTAGTGGCAATGACCGTTAAAAAAAGAAGGGTAATTTAAGCGATGACAGCAGTAATTACAGTAACAATGAGAACATATTAGATTCGAGGTTATTTACGATTCGAACGTAAAAAGAGATAAATGAGAGAGTGTTAAAATAGAAAAATGATGTTGAACAAACATGAAAATAGAAAATTCTACTTTTGTAGGAATGGAAATGAAAAAAATTAATGAAAATGTCGTATTTCGTTTGTGATTCCCACTGCGTGTACATGTAAACACGTACGTTTGCTAGACACAATCAGCAGCGTGCACACATCTGTATGAAATAAGATTGTGGAATTAATCATTTTGTGGGGAAATGTGTCATACATGTTGATTACAAGTGTGTAGAAAAACCAGGACTAGACAATGCTACCACAGGAATAACGGAAGATAAATTTGCTGATTTGTACAACAAACTTGTCATTGTGCAAAGGAGGGCTTTCTCATCGTTCATAATCCAGATATAAATTATTTTACGTGCATAATGTATGTAGTGTGTGGGAATGGCATGCACGCTCATTCTACAAGAATTTGCGTCGTACAGGTGCTTGATTTGCGCACCGCACTTTCTATGCTTTTCCATTGGCATGACCCCATCATACGTATAACCATTCGACATACTCCATTTAAACTTCTAAGCACAAACTGTAATGCAGCCATCAATTTATTTGCTTGCGACATGTTACACGTGATGATTATAATGACATCCTCTGTGTAACGCCCATCCCACTTTAAACTCCTCTATTAAAATAATTATACAATAAAAATGTTAATGATTCAACGGAGCGAATTCGTTGGAATCTATGCGAATTTCATAATGCCAATGTTACGTGCTTTGTTCTGAAATTGCGACCATTCTGTCTATCCATCGGTTGAACATGTACGTGGATGTCAGGAGCGAAAGCGTTTTCCACTTTTGACTGTCAAAGTGAACAGACAAACTATAACAATGTTAGTTTCAAATTAAATGCACACATTTATGTGGTGTTGGAATGTCACCAATTTCATTTTGGCTGGAACTTCATTATTTTCTGCTTCACTATTTTAAAATGATGTCAATGTGGAAATAGAACGAGGGCGACTCCGAAGGGTATATACATTTATTGTAGATTAAATTTGTAAAGCCAAATGAGCGAATTTAATAAGCGGCTCGAAATTTGTTTTTCCCGTCTGGCTGGTTATATTGATCCGACTGAGAAGATACGAAGCGAAAATGGACTTTGCGTCAAAAAAAAAAAGTTTACAGGGCTTATCGTCGGCGCTTGTTTCCTTATGGTCGACCATTTGAAGCCGAATTAAATTCCATTGTTTCACAAATCGATGTTCAACATGTGGGTGTTATCCGCAACTGATATTATTCAAAGTTGTCTCAAACAATGGTGAATTTCCATAATTCTGAATTAGCTTGTATCGGTGGTGTCGCTGTAAACTTTGTATTTAAATATTATTCATGCCTGACAGATGTAAATGTATGCCATTGTCGGCATATAATTCATGCGTTGTTTCTTCGACGAAGACGACAGAGCACCGGAAGGATTTGAATAAGTGAGCCTTTCTGCATAAACCAACATGAGCACGCATAAAAAAAAACTTTGGTAGGAGCAATACAGTGTGCTCGCAAAGAACTCACCGCATTGGACTTTCTAACGACAAACCCATGTATGTGAACGGACATTTTTGGTATTGTTTTCGATGTTACTCGATTCAGAGTTTCATACCAAAATGAATTTTGCCATTTTCAAATGACATCAATTTATTCAAAGAAAATATTACCCATTGGTCGGTCGGAAAGACGGTAAGTCGTTAGATTGTCTCTAGCACTTACATGATGTTTCTTTATGTTATCATGAGCAACTCAACAAACCACGATTCTAAGCCCCATGTTAGCTTATGTATACAACCAAGCCAATCTATTCGAAAGAGAAAATCGACTCCACAATTTGTTTGCACTGTGATATCGTGGGATATATAAATTTAGTTGATTTTTACAGCCCTTAGCTTAGTGAATTGCGTATGAGATCCTGAGATTGTGATGCACGGAAAACGAAGACAACCATGAAATCGGTTTTTACGCCAAACATTTTCCAACGGGCTTAGCCAAATGTTTTCGAGGTAAAAACACGTTTTATGTTATGCAATAACGGGCAATTCTCTTCAGCTACAACGATTTTAAATGTGTTTATCGTAAATATGATTTGATCAGAAGTGCCTAACAGACGCAAAGCAAGCACTTGTGCATTCAAGCGAAGTTGACTTAATGGCACACACACACACACAAGCGAACGTTAGAGAAAGTGATGTACAGCAGTAGCAACTCAATCAACGTCTTTGTTTTCTCTCGTTGCACATGTTGAGTCGTTTATTTATCGTTATCTCCCGGTTGTCACTTGATGCACACACAAAGGTACTACTTCACTTCTTTTTGGTAAAGTGAAATCTCTGTGTTTATGTTTTCATTTTTTTTCTCGTCCTTTTGTTCACTGAGCAATTTCTCCGCCCGGTACAAAATGTAGACTAAAGAATCGAGGGTAAAACCTTCGTAAAAATAATCGTTTTTATGCGTTAAAGAGAAATTCAGTCGATGACACAGTTTTGAGCTTTCTCTCTCTCTCTCTCTCTCTCTCTCTTCGTATATTCGGGTGAAGAACAAGAGCGACAGCAACAGGAAAGATCACGCAACATTCAAAAGACCGGAACCGCTTTGTAGTTCACGTTTCATGGAAGGATTATACAATACAAGGTACTTGGTATAGAAAGGCGGCCCGCTCCATTACGGAGCACATCATAACACGGACCGGCAACGATATACATTGTACGATGCTGTGCATTTGCCTTCGCCGACGTTTCATGTATGTGTATTTGTATGTGCATTCAAACACATCAGACCGGCAGAAATGTGAACAAAATGAATGGATCCGTTTTAATTACAAACTTTTTAATTATATGAATACCATCACCAGCATATTTTCCTATTCATTGTCACATACTAGTGCGAAATGCTATGCGATTGTGTGTTGAGTAACATTCGATGCATACAGGACAATATTGAGGTTGCTATCACACACAGTTTCCGTAACGTTGTTTTTTTTGCATAAAGGGCGGATGACGTCAAGTCCCTTCCATTTTACACTGGAAACACGTTGTATGATCTTTTATTTGAGCTAGTTTTGCATTCAATTTCCAAATCAATTTAAATAGGCTTATGAATTCGAATGAGAAACAGTTTAATTAAAACCGCAAATTGGAAAGGTCGTCGATTTGGATTTTGAAAATGGACTAGAATTGGTGAGCAAATGATATTCTCGTGCTATTTGTTTCGGAATTTTCTTCGATATTGTTGGCTTAGATGAGAGCAGAAATTACATTTGCGTGCACATTGTATAATTGGAGACTTGAAGTGAAAGTTTTCGCAAATAATCTCCGATCATTTTGAATAATTCAAAGACCACCAACTAATTATCGTAAAACACTTTCTGTTTCAAATTAACAGTTATACGAAATGTGGCAGAAAACCAATTTCAGCCCTGAAAATGTACAGAAAACCAATTTTCTGCTGGAGTCTCATAGAGAGAAAAAACAAAGAGTTTCACATTAGATATATTTGGAGTCAGAAAGAAGCTTAATGTTTCTCATTGAAAGTCTTACCATAATTTATAGTCAACAAATTCTTTTTATGAAGAGGATATTATAATTTTGAAGTGAATGTGATGCACCCTAGCTACCATTCATTGATGTTGATTGTGGTTTTTTTTTCTTCTATTAAGCACAAGTACTGCGTTATTTCCTCTCCCTATCTCATAGAAATATAATATCATTCACTTCAAAATGCGTTTCTTCGGAAAATATTTCGATACGAAAGATTCTATTACAGCGTATATATGCGGTAATGAACAATATTTTGTTCTAGCCTGAAGCACCTTTTCAAAGTGCCTATCTGAAATGACTTGTTCAAACGAATCCATGTAAGATGTGATTAACATGTATGTTATAAAATATATGGCATGTTGATTGATCCTATACATATTTTCCGGTACAACTGCCGGAGGAATAACATACAGTAATATAAGCATCATATTTACACTCTTCAAAGTAAGTCGAGTACGAACAACTAACAGAGGATGGGTACGAGGTACATTCTAATTGGGATATCTCGTTTTGATTACATATTTTGGTGTGTTCATGCACACATTTTCAGTATGGAATGAAAAAAGAGCAATGAATTTGCTATTTCCGTGCAGCATTTCACAGAGATGAGATATTGTGGTATTTCCATAACCGAGATCCATAAAACAGCAGGTGAGTACTGGAAAATCAACAAAGTAATTTCCATTCCACTCACTCGTTGCATCCTCCAATACTAGCATTTGATGATATTCTAAGTGCGGAATGATAAAAAAGTGGTCTAAGCGGTGATACTATCTCAACACCGATGAGTGCAACAAGCAAGTTAACATTGGAAAATAATTACAAGATTAAAAGTTGAATAGGTATGCCAGAGCAATTGAATTAGCATCTACGTTGTCATCTAATGAATT